AGAGAGAGAGAGAGAGAGAGAGAGAGAGAGAGAGTACGTCTTTTCCACCCGCTGTTTCCAGTCTGCGAAGATCTTCTTCAAAATAAAAGTTTAACAATAACAATTTGATTTGTTCAAATACTTCTTAAGTACAGTCCTTTTATTTGAATGATTCTGTCCTGCTGGAGTGTGACATGATTTGTTTGTGTACAAACTAATACACTATCAGAGTTTTATATATTTATACTTCTCATTCAACCACAGTTAAATTCACTCTATCTAGGAGGCTCAGTTTATATGGATAGTTTTATTTTTTATAATAACAAGCTGCAATGAAAACAAGCAAAAATGAAATAAAAGTAACAACTTTATACTTGTCTTTTTTTAAAATGTAAGGAGTAAAAGTAGGCTGAACAATAATTACTCAAGTAAAGTACAGATACCCAAAAATTCTACTTAAGTACAGTAACAAAGTATTTGTACTTAGTTACTTTTCAGCTCTGCTACTTCTTTACCTTCCAACTCAGATCAACTCCAGCTCATCAAAGTGTAGCCATTTTTTCTTAATAATTAATACAGTTGTGTATTTTGTTTCTTTACTCGCCGTCCAACAAAAAATTACAACATGGTGAAAATTTCTAGTCCAGAACCTCATTTGTAAAAGGATGTGTCATTAAAATGTATGAAAGAAGTTTTTATCAAGCTTCCTTTTTAAGATGTTCTTCTTTATCTCTCTGGTGTGAAAAAGATCTAATCTTCTGACAAATTGAATTTCCTGTTGGAACAGAAAATTTAGAGATAAACATCTTTAATCTGAGAAGTCGCTGTGTTTTAGAAACCAAACATTTAACGTGTTAAAAACAAGATGCAGCAGAACACGTCAGATTGGTGTTTTTATTTGTTGTCGTCTCAATCAGCCGTGGGAAAGACTGAATTACCTGTTTTGATTTGTCGAACCTTGACGAAGCGCAGCGGGTACGCCACAGCCAGGTACCGATCCAGGGATATGCAGCACAGGAAGGCGATGCTGACGTAGATGTTGGTGTAGAAGATGAAACCGAACAGCTTGCAGCTCTCCTGGCCGTGGATCCAGACGTCGTGCTGCAGGAAGTAGTCGATCCACAGAGGCAGGGTGAAGATGTAGAGGAGGTCAGCCACCGACAGGTTGATCAGGTAGATGCCCAGCTCGTTACGCTGACGTACCTGAAAGAGTGAAAAGATTTTTTTTTAAAGTTGGGGGAAAAAATAATAAAGGAATGAAGATTGAAGATGTCTTGTTATTTCTGTGTATTTTAAAAAACATATTTAAAATTATGTTTGTACTTGTTCTCAGCAGTTGAAACTGTGACGTCGTTTCTGATGACTCAGCAATAAACGAAATGGGTCGTTTGATAATGTGAACATGACACGGCACATTTCTGATCACCCAAAAGTTACAAATATGGTCCAGATGTTGAAAAAAAGGACAAACAATAATTTGAACAAATGAAAAGTCAATAAGAACTCTTCCTGCAGCTGCCAAAGCAAACTGACAGTCTGTGGGAAATAAAATCTGGATATGTTTGATGCTGGATGGGAAAATATCCTGAGGGGTCCGGTCAGATCTCGTAGGCCGTGTTGGACACGTTACTTGGAAATTCAGCTCTGGTGAAAAGCATTGGTGTGAGTCCGTCTTTACATAATAAGCTTCATCTGAAGTGTTCTGCAAACATCCTGCTGATGATGGGTTATCTACTCAGAACCTTCCAAACCAACTCAGAACCTTCCAAACCAACTCAGAACCTTCCAAACCAACTTATGACCTTTCAAATCAACTCATGACCTTTCAAACCAACTCATGACCTTTCAAACCAACTTAGAACCTTCCAAACCAACTCAGAACCTTCCAAACCAACTCAGGACCTTCCAAATCAACTCATGACCTTTCAAACCAACTCATGACCTTTCAAACCAACTCAGAACCTTCCAAACCAACTGAGAACCTTTCAAACCAAACCAGAACCTTCCAAACTAACTCAGAACCTTCCAAACCAACTGAGAACCTTTCAAACCAACTGAGAACCTTCCAAACCAACTGAGAACCTTCTAAACCAACTCAGAACCTTCCAACCCAACTGAGAACCTTCCAAACCAACGTATGACCTTTCAAACCAACTCAGAACCTTTCAAACCAAACCAGAACCTTCCAAACCAACTCAGAACCTTCCAAACCAACTCATGACCTTTCAAACCAACTGAGAACTTTTCAAACCAAACCAGAACCTTCCAAACCAACTCAGAACCTTCCAAACCAACTGAGAACCTTCCAAACCAACGTATGACCTTTCAAACCAACTCAGAACCTTTCAAACCAAACCAGAACCTTCCAAACTAACTCAGAACCTTCCAAACCAACGTATGACCTTTCAAACCAACTCAGAACCTTTCAAACCAAACCAGAACCTTCCAAACCAACTCAGAACCTTCCAAACCAACTCATGACCTTTCAAACCAA